ACACACACACACACACACCACCACACCACATATATTGGCTTCAGGTCTTACATTTAAGTCTGTGATTCATTTTGTGTTATTCTATATGTATCTGTCCAGTTGTTCAACACTGTCTCTACCCCATCTGGGATATTCGTGCCTCCTTATCACAGATGAATTGACCATATAGGTGGAGGTTTATGTCTGGGGTCTCTATTCTCTTCCTTTGACTTAGAGTTTGTTTTTATGCCAATACAATACTGTTTTGATTACTAAAGCTTGTGTAGTTTCATATCAAGTAACATACTCCCACATTTTCTCTTCTTTCTCTAAATTGCTTTACCTATTCAGGGTCTTTTGTGGTTCCACATACATTTGTGATTAGCTGTGTGAAAAAATCCTATTGGGACGGCACGTCCCAGTCGCTGGTGCCGCCGGAGGGGCGTGGGCTCTCTGGGCACCATGAAACCTGAGGCAGCTGCTGCAGCCCTGGAGGCGCAGGGTCACGTCTGTCACTGCCCCCGGAGGCCACCGTCCCTGTGTGGGCCCCAGAGCTCCACACCATGGAGACCTTGGATCCTGAGACCCCGAGATGCTGAGCAGACCAGAACTGGAAGCCGCATTTAAAATGCCTGAACAGAGAGACTGAGTCAGACTCACCTGTCCTCCTTGGAGTCCTTCGCAGTCGCTGCACATCACCGACACCACGAGCCTGGCGGTGACCAACAAACTTCTGGGTCACAGGGGGCCTTTGGGTTTCAGCATCCCCTAAGACTTTATTTACCCAAATCGCCAGGAATATCTGCCGTTTTGGGGGGAAAGTGCTGGCCAGTTTCCCAGTTCAAGCCACAATTCACTTCTACAAGGATGAATCTGATCCGAGGATGGAGAGAACGGGAGGAAGAAACCCGTCTCCTCCCCCAGGGGGCTGAAGGTCCCGTGGCAAATGGCCCAAGAGGAACAGGTAGAAACCGTCCGACACACCGGGCACCGAGATCTTGGAGGACACGGGGTCTGGGTGATTAACGGTCAGCCCCCACACCGTGATTCTCCCAGGGATGCTGGGTGCTCCTCATCCAAATAAATGGGGTCTCCCTCTTGCCCCGCCTGCCTCACATGCACTCGTGAGGACAGCTGTGCCTAGACACTTTGCATTTGCCCTGGGTGTACAGGGGTTGGGGGCTGCTTTGGCTCTCTGGCCAGCACTCTACTCAAGTCAGAACTCACAGCACTTTTCCTTTTGGTGACTCTTCTTCTGGGCACTCATGCCTACCATTGAGAAGGACTCTAGGACCAGGGAAGGTTTGTGTCAACATGGGTTCCTGTCAGGTGGGGCCGACTACCAAAGCACATTCAGCTTGCTCACTCTGCCAGCCAAATGATAGATACTCCAACAGAGATCAATAATCCATACCTGCCCCTCACTTAACCGGAGACTGTTATTTTTCTCTTTATGTTTTTATAAAAAGATATTGTCCAAAGGTTGATGTGCTTGCTTAGTGGCAATCAGAAAAAAATTATCTATGAAAAACAAAACACAGTCATTCCGGTAAGGATAACAGAGATAAGAAGATATGAATTTTTAGGAGAAGTTCTGGATAAAAAATTTTATGATTGTTTTCTAAAGGTTATGAGTGTGAATGGAGGAGAAGACCTTTAACTCTGAGTGGGGGATGCTTTGGGCTTGTTACTGGATAGAATAACATTGCTTCAATCAAGTATCGAATGTAAAATTACTTTCACTTTTTTTTATATTTGAATGACGAAATGAGTGTATTCCACAAGGTATTTTATTTACCTACCTTACAAGTGGTTGTCTTCCTATATATAGTACATCATAATTTTCTACCTGAAATAAATGTTTAGAAAGAAAAAAAATCCTATTGGTATTTTTATAGGAATTGCACTGAATCTATAGATTACTTTTGGATACTATGGACATTTTAATAAATGTTAATTCTTCTTATCTATGAGTGTAGAATACCCTTCCATTTGTAACTCCTTCAATTTCTTTCATCAATGCCCTATAGTTATCCAAGTACAAGTCTTTTACATCATTGGCTAAATTTATTCCTAGATAGTTATATATATTTTTTTGTGATATAATGTTAAATGGGGTTTTCATTTTATCTGTTTGAAAGTTCATTATTATTATATAAAATGCAATTTATTTCTGAATATTAATTTTTAATCTTGGTACTTTCCTGAAATCATTTATTAGTTCTAATAGATTTATAGTGGAACCTAGAATTCTCTCTACACAATGTTATGTTATCTGGGTTAATGATAGTTTTGCTTCTTCCTTTCCAATTTGGGTGCATTTTATATCTTTTTCTTGTCTGATTGCTATGAATAGGATTTCCAGTACTATGTTGAATAAAAGTGTTGAAAGTCTTTTTCTGATCTGAAAGAAAAGCTTTCACCTTTTCTCAACTGAGTATGATGTTAGCTGTGGGTTTGTCACGTATGCATTTTCTTATGTTAAGATATATATACTCTATCCCAGATTTGCTGAGATTTCTTTATCATAAATGAAAGTTAGATATTGTCAAATAGGTTTTCTGCATTTATTAATACAATCATATGATTTATTCTTTATTTTATTGATGTGGTATATCTCATTTTGATTGCAAATATTGAACCAAACTTGCATCCTGGAAATAAATCCACTTGATCATTGTGTATGAACTTTTTAATGTATTGTGGAACTTGGTCTGCTAATATATTGTTGACAATTTTTGCATCTATGTTCATCAGGATAGTGGCCTATAATTTTCTATTTTTGCAGTGCCTTTGTTGGCCTTTGGATATCAGGGTGATGCTATTCTCTTAATTGAGTAGGTGAGTCTTTATTCTTCTTCAATTTTTTGGAATAATTTGAAAAGGATAAGTATTAATTCTTCTTTGAATGTTTGTTAAATTCACCTTTGATGTCATTTGGTTCAAAGATTTTGTTTGTTGAGAATTTTTTTATTATTGATTTATTTACATTAGCTGTTATCAATCTGTTGAGATTTTTTTACTTCTTCCTGATTTAGCTTTTGAAATTTGTATGTTTCCAGGAATTACTTTCAGGTTGTCCAAATTGTTATCATATAATTATCATAGTATTTGCTTATCATCCTTTGTATTTCTGTGTGTTAGTTGTCACTTCTCTTTCATTTCTGATTTTATTTACTTGGGTTCTCTCTTTGTTCTTCATAAGTCTTGTTAATCTTTATCAATTATGTGTAGTTTTCAAAGAATCAGCTCTTGATTTCACTGATGTTTTCTATCATTATTTTTAGACTCTGTTTCACTTACTTCCATTCCGAGCTGAGGCCTGCCACCAGTTTGCTGGGCTTGTGGCTACTTAAGTGAAACAACCTTTTTAAAAATTGATTATAGAGAGAGGTAGGGAGAGAAAGAGAAACACTGATGTGAGAGAGAACATCGATCGGCTGCCTCCCACATGTGCCCTAACAGGGCACCTCACCCACAACCCAGACATGTGCCCAACAGGGATTCAAACCCATTATCCCTTGATTTATGGGATGGTGCTCCAAGCAACCATGCCACACCAGCCAGGACTGAATCTAACTTTTAAGCCATCACAGACCATGGCTTATGCCAGGCTTTGTGCCACTTGATGGAAGTTAAAATGCGTTTTGATACTGGTCACTGCTTCTGCCATACTTAGAGCTGCTTTAAAAGAAGTACATGTCACATCAAAGCCAGTAGCTGCTTTTTGAGGGCTTGTAGGCCCTTCAGAGATTTCAGGAAAGTACACAATGTGAGCTGAGACAGGCCACTTGTATGTTGAAACTGCTGGAAGCAATTAGTCCAGGTGCAAACTGGTAGGGGTAATGTCTTAAAGACTTGCCAGCATGTGTAAGTCATGCTATTGGAGAACTCAAATTTGGTTCCCACCTGTGCCTTCCAGCTGGGTGGGGAGAGGGCTCATCAAAGGAACAATGGTGCCTGTCTCCACTTATCCCCAGAGAGAGCCTTCATTACCTCTGCCCCCACACCCTAGCCCTGAAACTAGTCAATTAAGTTCCTTCTTCTATATCCCTGGAGCCTTTCAAGCTGCACCCTTTGCAAGGTTGGAGCAAGTGAGTTTGTGAGTAAGTGAGTCCTTACCCCTCAAGATCACCTGGGACTCCAGAAAGTTTCCTTCCCATTCATTCAAATCCCTTCAGCGTTTCACAGACAGATATTGATTCCTTAGGGGTGAGAAGCTGAGTATGGGTTAGGACCCATCATTCCACACAGGGGACTCAGCAGCTGAAATATCCCTCCTAATTCTTAATTGCTACACCTTAAATGTGTGACATGCCTGTTGCACATAGCTGTCCCTCCTACAAGTCTCAAGTAGCTTCTTCTTTATATCTTTATTTATAGCACTTCCGTTCAGGTAGTCTATAGATGGTTCTTAATGATGGTTGTTCAATAATTTGGTTATAAATTTAATGCGGTCCTGGGAGGAGATGGGCACAGTGCTTACCTGCTTTACCCTCTTAACCATGAGTCAGACTGTGTCTTCCAAGAGGACCCCAGTTGGACTCTCTCTTCTAACAGCATCTTCCTTTTGGGTTTCTCCACATTTCCCTGCCAGGAAACCATAGAGATGAAGAAGCAAGATTTTTTGCTTCAGAATGAACAGGCATCTGGCAAGTATTGCCAGGCTCAGCTTGAGCAGCTTTCAGAGCCCTTGATGGATGATATTTCAAGAGGAACTTTCTCTGTGCCTGGGGGACACAACCTCTACTTAGAAGCAGTGGAAAAGTTGGAACAGTCCTATAACCTGGTACCCAGGAAAGGAGTGAAGGTGAGGAATGAAAAACACATGGCACCGTTTGTGGAGAGAAAGCAGAGCATGGCGAGCTTTACATTTTTATCTTTTATATCCATAATTAGTTAAATAATTTTAAACAATCCAGAAATATGTCTTCCCAAATATAGGATTTATTATCTGCAATCAAGATGAAATAGAACATTTGTTTTATTTAACAGTGTAATCGTTTTTGTGCTAAGTATAGGAAACATATAATTTAAAAAACAACTTCCTCAAAACACTATGATCTTACTGAGAAAGGACATATAAATAGTCAATTGAATGTGATGGGATATGGTTATCATCCAAGTAAACACTGACAGTGATGATGATGATAGTGGTGGTGGTGGTGAAGGCTAATATATACTGAGCACTCACTTTCTATTACAGGTATCATCTGAGGTGCTGTGTTTGGATTATCAATTTAATTCTTAGAATAATATGAATTTAGGTGCTACTGTCATTTCCATTATACAGTTGAGAAATGAGATGCACTGAGAAGCTACTAAGTTGCCTAACAACACACAGCCAGCAAGTGGTAGAGCTGGTAGGGCAGGTCTGCGCACTCAGCATCCATCCAGGTCTCAGAAGGAAGTTCAGCAAAGCTTCCTGAGAAAGGAGGGAGAAGCTACAAGTTGAAGTGTCAACCATGCTATCTGAGTAAAGAAAGGGTAGGGGGATATCCGGACAGAAGAAAAAAATTGTGCACACACTGCACACAATGGAGGATGAGTGTTAGTAGAAATGCACATAAACTTGGTTGTCTCTAACCTGGAGTGGGTGGTTGATGGCATCACTGAGACAAGAGATAGAGAGCTGAGAAAGAGGGTGCCATTGAGGGTTCTATTGTAACTAAAGAGGTGAAAATTTTTTTGAGTGTGCCTATGGGAGGAAGGGAACCATGGAGGGATCTTAAGAAGGATAAAGAATGTACAGGGTCAAATTTGCCGTTTTATTGAAGGAGAGTCTTTGCTCCTCATTTGTTTGTTTCAGGCAAATGAGGTCCTCCAGACCTTCCTGCAGTCACAGGCCGCAACAAAGGAATCCATCCTGCAGGCAGACCAAGCCCTCAGTGCTGAGGAGAAGGCTCTGGCAGGTACAGGGCAGGGCTCTGAGCACAGGGGGAGGGGAGGTTCCTGCAGTGCCTGCAACAGGTGTGAGCGAATCCCCCCTGAAACAAGGCGCTTCCTGACCTTCTGCCCAGCAACTTGACTAAACTGGAAATAACCAGGGGAATTCTGGTAGCTTATTCAGCAACGTAATGCTTCTCCATCCCATTCTGAGACAGAGATTCTCCCTACCATTTTAAAGTCATTTTAGTCTCTGAGTTCTGGAGAGTAGAGCTGAGTATGCCTTAATTTCTTTCCTCTGTGAAACCCTTGGAGAACAGCTGAGTGTGCCAAGAATCGGGAAGCTGAGAAGGAACTGGATCTACGAAGACAGAAAGAGAAGGAACAGCAGAAAATTTTGGAGGCTCAGGAGAAAACCTTCAAGGAAAACTTAGCGCAGCTGAAGGAGAAGATGGAGAGAGAACAGGAAATCCGCCTGAGAGAGCAGGAAAGTATGCTGGACCTCAAGCGCAAGGTAAGCCTGGGCGGGGCCTGGGCGTGCCCACAGGACAGTAACCTGGTTCCTCAGGAAGTGGAACAAAAACTGGGCATGAACCATGAAGGAAATAGTCAACATAAGAAACATTGAAACCTGTGCAGAATTCTTGTGAGTTTATTTGAGCCAAACTGTCGACAGTTGCCAGGAAGTAATATCTAAACAGATTGGGATAAGACTCTGGAATAGGGTAGTCTGGCCCCTTATTTTCTACATTACAATCAAAAGAGAAAACACAAGTGAGTTACATGAAATTTGTTGGTGATAGAGTAGGGAGGTGGGAGAAAGCAAAGCGGGGAAACCTCTGGGATTGGATGAAAAGTAAAATGATAGACATGTACATCTTTGACATAGGTGGGTACAGGAAAAGTTAACAGTAACAATTAACTCAATAATAATGAGGGGATTTGTGCCTGTGCTTCGAGGGGTCTGGAAAAGGAAAATTACTTTGACATTGCAAAGATATGTTATTGTAGATGCAAAAGACAATAGACGGGCTCCGTTAAGGTAAACATTGAACTTGGTCAAGGAAGACTCTGGCCTAGGACTTGACTACCCACCATCAACTGCTTCTCGTTAAAAGTTTTAATTTCAGACATCCTTTGTGGTTATTTTAGGACTCTGAGTTTGTGAGTTCCCTCACAGGCCTCCCCTGAGCTTTTCAGGTTTAGTAAATGGCCCCTATTCCTTCCCCAAATCCAAAGGTATATGATTCAGTGAAATGTTAAATTAGTCGAATCATTCTAAAGCCCAATTCTGTTAGAATTAGCACCTTCTGTAGTATTAGGGTCCAAATAACATGCTCCAGGCTCCTGAACTGCTGCTTCTGGTGATAATAGGGTCTCCTTGTGCACCCAAGGACTATTAAGTTTCTCAGATGTTAGGTACAACCATCAAGGACACCTGTTATAGATCCTCTGGGTCTGAAAGTGTCAGATCATACATGGTATGAAATATAGGGTCATAAAAGCTCTCAAATTGGCTACATTGGTTTTCAGATCTACCTGATTTATTCTCTACACCCAGAGTAAATCGTGTTCAATGTCCCAACCGGGAGTTTGATAGCCAGTTCTGTGGAGAGTCAACAGTTCCCATTACATGTGTGGTCATCCTACTTCAGTGGAACCAAGAGATAATCAGATTAAAAAATACCTAACCTTCCCAAAAAGCATCCTTAGGACTGGAACACATTCCTGGCATAGTTACCAGCCTCTAAATCCTCACTCCCCCCCCCCCTCCAGTGAGACTGTGATAAGTGATCATGGCAAGGTGTAAACCATCATACTACCACTACTAGGTCCTAATGTTTAGAAATATTGTACAAAAAAGCATCAAAGAGCATATAAATTAGTAGAGAAATAGAACATGTGTTTAGCTCCTGCTGTTGTTAAATTCAGAGTTCTGATTATTGGAATTTTCAAAAGGAAACTCTCTTTTTTTTCAGATCTCTGAAGAACTGCTTAATGAAGGATTTAAGGCGAAAAATGAGGAGATGCAGAAAGAGATAAATCAACTAAAAGAAGAGAAGGAAAGAAATAATGTCAATAAGGCCTCCGATATTGCACAGATACTTGGTATGGCTACCACTGTGTTAGCAGCCGTACTACCTTGGCCTCTTAACATAATTGTTATAGCGCCTAAAGTCATCAGTTTAGTGGAGATATATCTCAATTTGAATAAGTGAGGAAATTCATCAGTTTCCTTACACGTTCTTAGAATTTATCTTAAGTATATTTTAAAAGGCTTCTTATGTTATAATAGTGTGACAATGTGGTTAATTTAGGAAACATGCTGGTTTCACTCACAAAATGTTTAAAAATGAATGATGATTAAAAAGAATATCCGGGCCTGATAACCAAATGACACTTTATTTTGATTGAATTAATTAATTTAAAGAAATAGAAAACAAGTTAGGACATAATGACTTATTAAAGAGTTAAGCAAAGCAAGAAGATGAATGGTAAGATGAAATAAACATTGGCAATCTGTATTACAGTCACGAAGATCTTTTTTTTTTTTCTTTAAATCCTCACCTGAGGATATTTTTCCTTTTATCTTCAGAAAGAATGGGAGGGGGAAGAGAGAGAGACATCTATGTGAGAGACACACATCGACTGATAGCCTCCCACACGACCCCTACCACGGCCCCAGAGGGAACTGAAACCAAGGTAGATGTCTTGACTGGAATAGAACAGGAGACTCTTTGATCAGCGGGCCGATGCTCTAACCTCTGAGTCAAACTGGCCAGGACACGAACATCATTTCTTTTTTTCTTTTTTTTTTATGAATTTTTATTTATTTTTTTGTTACAGATATTTTACCTTTTTATCCCATTGGCACCCCCCACCCCACCCCCCCTCCACCCTGTCCCCGGCTTAGTTGTCCATGTCCATTGGTCATGCATACATGCATATAAGTTCTGTGGTTTATCTCTTCCCACCCCCCACCCCCCATCCCCTCTTCTGAGGGATGTCAGTCTGTGCCCCACTTCCATGTTTCTGGGTCTACTGTATTCCTCAGACTGTTATGTTCATTATAATCCGTATATAAGTGAGATCATGTGGTATTTGTCTTTTTCTGCTTGGCTTCTTTCACTTAGGATAATACTTTCCAGGTCCCTCCATGTCGTCTCAAAGGATAAGACATCTTTCTTTCTTACCACTGCATAGTACTCCATTGTGTATATGTACCACAGCTTTTTATCCATTTGTCTACTGGTGGACACTTGGGCTGTTTCCAGATCTTAGCTATTGTAAAGAGTGCTGCTATGAACATGGGGGTACATATATTCTTCCTGATTGGTGTTTCAGGCTTCTTAGGGTATATTCCCAGCAGTGGGATCACTGGGTCAAATGGAAGTTCAACTTTTAATTTTTTGAGGTAGCACCATATTGTTTTCCATAGTGGCTGCACCAGTCTGCTCATGAAACCCAGAAAGAGATTATATTTTTCTAGCTACACTTGCATCTTGGTATAGGCATGCAAATAAGTTTACTATGGAATGTGAACAGAAGTATATGTGTGTCACTTGTGGATCTGAGCCAGAAAAATCTGAACCTGTGTTCTATGAATCACTCTTTTCCTTCTTCTGCCTGGATCAGAGATGCAAGCTTAAACTTTGCAGGTGAATATTGGGTACCGAACAATAGGATGCAAGGAACCTGCATCTCTGAATAATCCTGTGGGACAATGTTTCCACTCAAGCCAAGAGTGGAAGGACTATAAAGTTATCTTCTAATCTATAACAATAGCTTCTTGAATAAGCTTTGTCCAATATCCCCTCTGCATTCTACCTCTTCTCCTGCCACCAATGATGGAACTCCAGCACAGCTCTGAGCATGCCTAACAATCTTCAAAGACTACCTGCTTCAGAAATAAAGTCTATGACTTAAGTTGCAATTGGTCTTTCAACCTAATGCTCAGTGAGACCTTGGCTATAGTGAACCCTGGCTGAATCATAGCATTTACTCACTACCATTGTAAATTTGCTCATTTCCTTCCTTTGCTTTAACATACATTTTCTCAGCAGAGTCGCACAGCGGAAGCATGCTTGGCCCATAAAATACATGTTCTCCAATCTCTGTTTGATGAAATCTGAGCCATCCTTCAAGATCTGGCAGACATGGTACCTCCTTGTGAAGCTATCTATAATCTTTCCAAATATAATTAATTGTTGATTCTAAAGAAACCCGAATACTTCATTTACAACGTAACATTAGCATTGATCACTTCTTGCTTTCTTTTCTAATATGTGCCCTATTCAAGGTATAATTTTTCCAAAACTCAGAACTTCACCTTAGTCATCTTTAAATATCCAATAACAATGGGTCCAACATTGGGTTCCATGCATTGTAAAATATGCTCTCATGTGTTTACCAAAAAACAAACAAACCCATAAACCAATTCAAATAAACATAAAACCACAAATTTTTTTCTTGACAAAGTACCCATGAGAAGCAGGATGTTGAAATACCTTAGTCTACCGTTATTTTGCGCACACTCGTCTGCTGTTCTGTATTCACTGTGGGGCCAAGGAAACCTACCAATTGTGAAAGGGATGGAACTGGGTTTTCAAAGCCCTTGAGGAGGAACTGGACAGACTTTCACACTCCCCCCTCCTCCCCTTACCCCCATCCCACAAACTCATTTCACCAACTTCTGTAAAAAAACAGTTGAAAACCTCCACCGTTAAAGCCTCAAAAAAGGTTTGTGACCTTTCAAGTGCAGCTTTCCTCATCCCCTCTCATAATATTGAATAATCTGGCACAATTTTCAGCTTCTAAAGATAACAATTGGCACCTGGAGGAGCCAGAGGCAGAAGCAGCACGCAAGGAACCAGCCAGAGCAGCTGATAACTTGTCCCCTGGCTGCAACTCCCTCGCCACCTAAATTCTATCCTAGTCTTAGTCTACCATGCACAAGTCCATGAACTCATTCACTGGCTGGCTGACAGACTGACTGACTACAACAACTCCTGCCCAAAGTAGGCACTGACAGGTGCTAAAGGCAACAGGCTGCCAGCACCCTGGGGACAGGGGGCTTCCTGTGCTCGGTCCTTGGGGTACATTGCTCTGGGCAGCTGAGTCTCCCTTTGTATTAGAGGTGGCTGCGAGGCCATAGAGCATGCACCAGGTTCCTGGATGAACCTCTCTTTTTCCAGGACCCACCCAGGGGTGCACATAGAGCCCTGCACTGAAGAAGAAGGAATGCATCTTACTTCACATGCAGGAAGGAGCTAAAGTCCTTTCTTGGACTAAAGAGCTAAACCTGGCCCCTTTGCAGGTGAGGTCTCTTCTTTTACCTCCCCCAGCTCCTTAGACTTTCCCTGACTGCGCCCTGCCAAGCATGGAGAAACAGAGTGAAAAGATCATCTTTGTCTTATGGACAATTTAAATCTGAAATGTAGAGTACTGATGATTATAGAGCTCATTAGAGAAACATTGCATTAAGAGTGGATAATTAATAATAACATACTGAACAGAGATGGTGGCAGGCAGGACCTGAGGGAGGGTGAGTGTGTGAGAGAGTGTGAATGGACGTGAAGGTGGACAACCAAACCCGAGCAGTGCAGAGATGCAGAGCAGAAGGTTCTGTGCTGTGGACGGAGCAGCCGGCTACCGCGGTAAGCAGCGCTTCAGGGCGCTTCTCCTGGTGCTGCAGGGAGGTCCCACCATTTGGAAAATCCTGGGTCTTCCCTGGGAGGAGGCAGTGGGAGCGGCTAGGGCCCAGCACCCTGAGCCCACCAGTGCACTTGACACCATTGGACCAGGGGACACCCTGTGTCAACACAGACTCATGCACAGTAGTGGAGCTGCCAAGGTGCCAGTCACAAAAGCCATGGACAGCTGGGAGCCCAGCACCATCACCCACAGCAGCAGCCCGATCAGAGTTCAGATATACCCCCACTAACAAAGGCTGGGGAGCAGATATCCATCCCAGGCAACAGAAGCACAGACCAGCAGCTGGGACCCATGCCCAAAATCTACAGCAAAAGCTGAGCAGGAATTGAGCCCCATGGGGCAGCAGCACTCCCCAGCTGCCAGCAGTGGGACCTGGGGCTCCACAGAGGCCTGTGTGGACCAGCAGCTCACAAGAGCAATGGGAAGCCAGGCCCCAAGAGGGACTGGTGCTATCCAGCTGCCTGTGGGTCCTACACAGTGCTGGGGCACCAAAAAGGCCTGTGGAACTCAGCAGCTCACAAGAGCCACAGGAATCTGGAGCCCAAGAGGGACTGGTGCAGTCCAGCTGCCTGCCCTTGGGACCTGAAGAGTGCAAGGACACCAGAGAGGCCTCTGCCACAGAGCAGGAACTGTGCGATCCAGTTACCTGCAGTACTTGTGGGGTGCTGAAGCACCAGGGAGGCCTGTGCGACCCAGCAGCCCATAAGAAAGGCAATGAGCCTGGTCTCCAAAGGGACTGTGTGATCCAGTTACCCATGGTACCTGCAGGGTGCGGGGGCACCAGAGAGGCCTGTGCGACCCAGCTGCACACAAGATAGACTTAGGGGACTTGAAAATGAAGGCTGAGTGAATAGAATCTAAGCAGATGATCTCCCAGGACCAAACAGGACTACAACTAAAATAAAGGCAAATCTTCGGAAAAAAGCAACAGAAAAGCAGCAGGACAGGACCATATAACCAGGGACACTGGTAGGATCTGCAGAGGCACAGGAGGGTGGTGGGCTGGGAGCCCACGGACAGCAGCAAGCACTCTTAGCTGTGAGCAGCACCCTCAGGGAATAAAGACCAAGCCCACTCCACAGCGCAGAGAGCCAGGACAGAGCACTAAAATAGCAACAGCCACTCACCTGGGGCAACATAAGAGGGAGGGAAGATTGGGCTGGAACTCTGTAGACACACCCGGGATTTGGAGGGCACTCAGAGTTTTTGCTGAGTTGCAGCCACAGAGGACAGTGGCCAGGGTGCTTCTTCCCAGAGCTGTGGGGAAAAGCAGCAGCTCTCTCTCCACCTCAGAGATTCAGCCTTTTCCAGGTGAGGCAAAAAATGCAAATTGAGGCTCATTCACAACCTGCAGCTATCCCCTCCTTCCCTCTGAAAATCCTGTTATGCAGAACACCAGTTCCAAGACACTGAGTAACTGAGTCTACTAGCCTCCAGGAAAAAGCTAGAGGATAACTGAACCATTCCTGGGCTTGCAAATCTACCCAGGAAAGTAAGACTTTAC